GTAACAGTTTTATCTTAGTAACATAAAAAGCTCCCAGGCTATGGTAACTGGTCTCACAATGATTTCAGCTAATTACTAAGGAAATTACTACATGCTAGGGGTGCTTGCCATTTCACTCTGAATGTTTAGGTTATACAATTAACTCTGGATTTAAAATAAATAAACTAACTATACTTACTAAGAATGGCTTATTTTGGAAAATCCAGGTTACTCTAATTTTGTAACCCTACAAAATTAATGTCTTAGCCCAAAAGTCATAGGATTATAGGCTGCTAAATTTGATGACTAATTTAAATATGGGCATTTTTTTCATGTTTGTATTAAGACTTTCATAATTATCACTACTGACTGTAGTGCAACCTCATTAACTTATCTGCTTTACTTAAGAGTGTCTAGATTAGTGTTTCCATGTATCGACTCTACACAAAAAGTACTGAGGTAAAAAATTAATTAACCTATTTCATATTACTATAACTAAATATTTTGACATTACAAAAACACTGTGCTTTATATGTTCATCCCTAACATTACAATTTTTCCACTAAATTTACTGCTAGACTACAAAATAATAGTTGTACCATGGATAGGACTTTCAATAATGGGGTGTTTATTTCTAATACTACAAACCTGTAGATACATAATTTTACCACAAGATGGAGCACGGTGCACAGGTAAACTGAAACCTGTGCAGTCTCAAGTGGCAAGTGTACAGTGCTAATAATTGCTGGAAGAAAAAAAAATGAAGATGACAAAAATAGTAAAATTTTGAGAGACTTTTACTGGATCTACCCACATTGCAGGAACAAAATTACCACAGAAAAAGCTCGCATTGCCACTTATTTTTTCAGTAAAAATTCTATTGATTCATTTCATAATGCAAAGATGGGTTATTGCAAACATAACAATAAATATCTAGTCAGGTACCAGCTAACTTGTATGCAAGTAATTGCACAGAAGACTTTGACTTTTAAGATTTGACTTTATGTAAGCTACTTCTACTCCTGGGACTCAGTTTCTTCATGTTAAAAATTGGTAGAAATAAACTAATGATAACATCTATGAGTGGCTTAGRAAGAACTTGTTTCCGCCTCACCTTTAATGGAAGCTCCTAAGATCGTTCCACTCCTAAGACCTTTGTTTCCATTTCTAAGACCTTTCCAACTAAAACTTCCAAATTTTACGTTAAAAAATGTGCTCATTAGGGAGAATGCAGCCTCAAGGCACATTTTGTATCTAACTCTTCCCCAGGGGACAGCTTTCTAGTCCTGACACTGGCCCTTCAAAGAATGATACCCAAGATTACTTATAGCTCTGGGTTCTCTTTGTATGCAGTATTTTTTACATGGCTAGGTTATATACATGGAAACACTAATCTAGACATTCTTAAGTAAAGCAGATAATTATAATGTGGAATGATGATTATGCCTGTTTGAAAACCACTGACAACCCCAATAAATGAAGAAGGAAAATTGGAGAACTGAACTGGAGATATTGTCTAGATAGTAGAGGGAAAAAAAAAAAGAGGGTAGGAATTACAACCTAATGTAATCTATTTAGATACTGCAAAGAATGTAAACTTACTTTTTCTCTTTTAACATTACAAACAGATATTCAGTAACAACTAAAACAAAGCCCTATACATAATTTAGAGGTATATTATACCCAATATACAAAAAAACTGATGTTTGACTAATAGAAAAGTTCAAATATGTGACACTGTAGTATCTTTTAAACTCAGCAAAGTGTACAAATGCATGGAACCATCCTTCTGAAATATATGTCTGTCAAATTCATTAAGTATGTGTCTGAAAATACTCCTTTCTGTAACTAGTTTATATTTCCTTAAGGTTTCATTCTTTAAAGTAAAAGTTTCTAAGGTACAGTTAATAAATACAAAATAAAACATGAAAAAATTAAATGAATATAAAASAGGATTTCTAATCTCAGTCTTTTCTAATAAATTAACAATCCAAATTGATAACTTAAGTTCTTCAGTAATATTTGGTAAATATCAATGTGTTATTTTTGCTTCCCCTGAGGAGTTTATGTTTCAGGATAACATAACTAATAACCATAGTAAATGTGGTCTACTTGATTTTTTCTCCCAGAATTAGTTTTTCTTTCTTTCTTTTTTTAAAGTACACATACTTTAGTTTACAAAAGATAACCAAAAATCAATATTTTAATAAACCAATAAGACATACTTTTAAACCGTCTTACTAAATGATATATACACTATGATCCAATTTCAATTTTTAAAACAAGCATGAAAATGAAAAGATATAACATAAAATTATGATAATAACTGTCCTTAATTATTGGATATTTACATTAATTTTTTTCTTCTGAGTTTTCAATAAAAACCAGAATTATATAAGCAGGAAAAAAGAATTATTTATTTTAGACAATAAGATAATACATAGCCTGTTATATTCTTACAAAAATATGATATTGAATATTAATGAAATGCAAAAATCTGATTTCTAAGAAAATAAACTCAAGATTTCAGCTTTTACGAGAGAGATTATTTCCCTGAACAAGGACTCACTCTACTGGTGACAAAGAGAATATATACTTATTCTGACATTTCTGAAGTAATTGCGTTATTTTCTACAAACACTAGAGGGCAGTGTTTTCAGTATCAAACATTTCATTTCTATTTTTGTGGGTGCACATACACACTTTCACTTACATATATACAAACTATATTTGTATAAAATACAAGTAATATATTTTGTATTTTTCCTACATTTGTATTCATTTTTACATATAAAAAATAATAAACATTAAAATATTATTTTGTGTGTATATTTTAAAACTTTTTAAGGCTATACTAACAAGTACATAATCTAAGGCTGTAATCTGATACTATCTTATATTAAAATTAAATGACTAATAAACACACTGAAAACAGAGGCCTTTTATTACTGGTTATTAAGTAGTAAAAATGTAAAAACAAAAAATTTAAAAATTAAATACCAATAGTTAATGACAGATCTTTAAGAAAGCACCAAAATAATTTTCTCTAACCTCCAAAACCACTAATATTTATCAGGCATATGAATTACAGGGGTGGTGAAAGAGAGGCTGAGAGGCAAAAATTACATTCCRGGGAAAGAGTACAGCAAGAGCAAAGTCACAACATCTCAAAAGAACATAGTTTATTTGGGAGATGCAAGGGTAAACAGATATGTCACTAAGTATAGGGTGCCCAGGGGAAATAAGTGAATATGAAGTTGGAAATGTAGGTCAGGGTCATTTAGGAAAGGATTGATATGCTATACCTAGGAGTTGAACTTTATATTAAAGCCAACAGGAAAGTCAATGAAGACTTAAAATGAGAGAGCTGTGACAGATCTGAGTGTGTGTATGTACGTGTGTGTGTGTGTGTGTGTGTGTGTGTGTGTATTTAAATAGCAGTACACAGGGCAAACAAGAGTAAAAGCTTGGAGGATGGAAGACCAATGAGTCAAATATACTGGCTCAAACCATAAATACAGCAAAAACATTGAGAGGGCAAAGAACTGTTCCAATGACATTTGAAATGCAAGAATTGGTTGGTGAAGGATTAAACACAGTGAATAAAGTTTTCAAGTCTTGGTGGATATGAATTTCTTAAACACTAGAGTTTTTTAATCACTCTGAGTGAAAAATGCTTTCTGAAATCCAGGTAGCAAGATCTACTAAATAGCTGAACTTAAAACAACATTAAGAGTTTTGGTAACTTATAAGTCTATTATAAGAGACTCATAACCCTTATTAAATAACCTATTAAAATAAAATGAATTCAATAGGCAGCAAAGAATATACATTTCAACTGAACTCTTCATCTTTCAGCAAAATAAACTTTGCAATTGAATGGTACCCATGTAAACTAAAGAACTGTATGGCACTATTAGGGATAACTCTTATATTTATTTGCAATTATATAATTTTTACTTATAGGGATTTAAGACATTTAAAATACACACAAACAAACCCTAAACTACTATTCCCATAAAATTTCAAGAAGTCAAAATTTTTAAAAACACAGTTTTATATGGTAGAAAAATATGAAAGTTTATTAATAATGAAAATCAAGTGTGCTGGGGCTGTGGCTCAGAAGTAGCCTGGCATGTGTGAGGCACTGGGTTCGATWCTCAGTACTACATATAAATAAATTAAATAAAGGTCTATCAACAACTAAAAAAATATTAAAAAAAAGAAAACCAATTATACCAATGATTATTAATAACTATCATTAATATAACTTCACATTTACAGAGTATCTCAAATGCATGCTCTTATATCTACAACCTATTCAATAGGTGGGCTTGAACTGGTAGTAATAACAATAGAAACAACTATAATAACATATAGAAAAAACTAGAGATGTTTGATGCTCTTATTTGGGAATTAATATTTAAAACTAGAGCTTTCCTGGCATGAATAAACTAGATTAATTACTGTCTACTGAATTTCCTAAAATTTTCTGAAACACAGAAAATACAGACCAAAGAAATTTAATACTAATCCACTATAAAAAGCACACAATTTGCTCTAGAACTATAAACTGGGTACCATAGATGCCTGTTTCTGAATTATTACACAAAGTTTAAATCCTGAGGAAAACTCCAATCCAATTGTTAAAAGTTTTGTGTTTTAAGTTTGACCATTTATATGTGAATCTAGTAAAACATTCAAATTGTTGACATTTATTTTGACTTCATAAATTATTTCTAATAAAATTCTATCTAAGAGATACAAATATCTACCAAAGTCCCCCCAGTTCTTAGATAATTCCTTGGATTTCATTTTTTAAAACTGCATTATCTAGATATGGCATTTAAAATATTCTTTATTTATCTAACAGATAAGCCTACAAGCTGAAAAATCTGTGATTTGTAATTCACAAAGACTAGAGTCTCAACATATCTATTTTAGTATTTTTAACAAAATTTGAATGGATTAAACAACAACAAACAAACAAACAAACAAACAAAAAACCTAGGAATACTTACTTGAACCTGGCAGGTGAAAGAGGAGTAGGAGGAAACATTCCTGGTTCAAAAGAATCAAAGTATGTAACTGTCCAAGAAAAGCTGCAACAGGAGAATCCAGCAATTAGGGATATTATAAGTAGAGTCCAGAATCCTTTGTGGGAAGGAAGAGAGAGCAGGAAACTTAAAATTATTAACACTATAACAATTTTAATTAAACAAGTGTCTTCATGTTCAGAAGATCATATGTATTTCTGGTCTTTGACTAAGTGTAACAAATATTATAATACGAGATTGACCTTAATAAAAACTAAACCAGAAGTAGAAGTTATTAAAACAATTAAAAGTCACACCATTATATTTAATTAAATTTACTATATAGAGGAACAAATTCAACTTAAGAATACTTTCATTTTTAAAATTTGACTGTAGGAAAAATGATTAAAACATTTCACTCTTAAGATGTCTTGACATATTTCAAATAACTTCATTGAATCATAGCTTGCTATGTTTTATTAATTAGTACTAAGTGATTCATTCTACACCAGGTACTTCTGATACATGAATCAATTTTGGAGTACCTCTTTATCAAACTTTTCCTATAAAAATCATAAACCTTATGATTCTTCAGCCTTGCTCAATATGCAAACAAAGGTTGACTCCCAGTTTACCAATGAGTTGGAATAATAGTTTATAACAGAAACAGTTTATTTGCAGTCGATTTGAGAACAGTATTCCCTCACCCCATAGAAATCAAGTCAAAAGCATGGTATTACAGTAAAATCAAGGAAAAGAGTAAGGAYTGAGAAATAGAATATGAATATAAAAAAAGTGACAAGACATACTAATAAAGTTTTTTTTACATACTATTCATAACCCGTTAAGGGTATTAAAAGGGCAATGATCTGTTCTTGTTGAGAATCTTAAGTCCACAGTCAGTGGCCACCTCCCTTTATTAGCTGTACAGCTTTATTTGCATGTCAAGTTTTCAAAATTCCTTCATAAATTAATTTACTTGTTCATCTACTCAACAAAATATATACAAGGGCTATTATGTGTTCATTACTATGTTATCAGATAGGGATAGAGTGATAAATGAAACACAAAACATCACTGTCTTTATGGAATAATTCTAGTAGAGAGAAAGATAACAGATAATTATAGACTGTGATAACTGTTTTTGAACAAACCAGATGTTAAGAGAGAACAACAAAATTCAGACTGAAAATATTAACTTTTTCTTGGAAGAAAAAAGGCTAATCTTAACGTTTTTAAGATGATCAACAGTAATAGTCAAACGGAATCAAATTCTACCAGATATTGAAACATACTGTAGGACCACAAATATTTAAAATAGTTGTACTAGCATATGAATAAACAAAAGAATGGAGCAGAATACAAAATCTAGAAAAAGGGCCAAAGAGATTATGTTTTAAAAAACATTATTAGAGTCTGAGAAGGTCGTAGTTGTAGAGCTAGCATATATAAGGCCTTGGGTTCATTCCCTAGCTCAAAAAAAAAACATTAATTAAGTGTGGTGGTAACCACCTAGAAAGGGGGAAAAAAAACAGTTGGATCCATGTCCCACGCTAAATTCTAAAACACAGTAATGTGTTTTAACATATTATTATGAATTATGCTTTTTCTTCCCTAAACAGAAAGGTATGAAAAGAATCATCAGAAAAGTCATGCCTTTGACAGAAAAAGGTCTAATTTTTAAAATCCATATATTCCACTATTTACATGTATACACAAAGAGACAATTAAATATGTATGGCAAAAACCTCAAAGCGGATGGCAAATGTTTTAAATACAATACATATTTGTAACTTACAGCATGAAGGAAAATTTTTCTATGAGAGAATTCCTAGAAACCAGTAAGAAAAAGACCAGCAATCTAAGATTCCAATATAAAAATGAGCTAAGAATATGACCCTAGAAAAGGAACTTAAGTGATACTGAACATAAAAAAAGTCAATTTAGAATCAATCATCAGAAAATTGGGTATCATTTTTCATAATTATCAACTGGMAAAAATTAAACTGATAGAATTCTGACACTGAGGATAAGAAGAAACAAATTCTTTATGCATTGCTGCTAGAGGAATTAAACTGGTAAATCTCTATGCAGAGCAATTTGGTAGCGTATTTATTAAAACGACACCACATATATATCATTTCATCCAGAATGCTACTTCTAGATAACTGTCCTACATATACACTCTTGCATAAAAAATGCACAAAATTTTTCTTTGTATCATTACTTATAATAATGACTGAAAACAATCTAGATATTCAGCAATGCAGGTTCAGTTGGGCCCTCAGCAAATGCCTGAAACTGTAGAACCTACATATACTGCTTTTTCCTATATATGTGTGATAAAGCTTAATTTAGAAATTAGGCTCAGTAAGATATATTAATAACTAGTAAATTAGAACAAATAGAATATCATATCGTAATAAGCTATATCTCTCTTGTGTATCACCTGGACACAAACCCTGAAAAATGTCAACAATTATTTTGACCAGCTGATAACAACACTAAGTAGTGATAAAGGGGCAGTAACACAGTGTGTGAATATGCTGGACAAAGAAATGATTCATGTCCTAAGTAAGAATGGCGCAGAATCACACAATATTTGAACCAGTATGCAATTTATAACATAAATTTTTATTTCTGGAAATTTCCATTTAATATTTTTCAACTCTTTTGATCACAGATACCTAAAACCACAGAAAGAAAACTGCAGACAAGGGTTTATCATTTTTAATGTTCTTTTTAGTAGAATGACAGTAAAATGTATTTTGGCAAATTATATGTACATAGACTATAACATTTTATTTAGGATGCCACTCTTGTGGTTGTATATATTGTGGAGTTACCTTGGCCATGTATTCAATACAAGGCTAGGAAAGTTACATCCAATTAATTCTACTGTCATTCCTATTTCCTCCCCCACCTCCCTTCATTTGCCTTTGTCTAATCCAGTGGATTTCTTCTATTCCCTTCTCCAAACTCCCTTGTTTGGGGTTAGCATCCACAAATCAGAGAACAATCAGAATTTGGTTTCCTGAGACTAGCTTATTTCACTTATCAGGATAGCCTCCAGTCCTATCCATTTACGAGCAAATACCATTATTTCATTCTTGGCTGAGTAATATTCCATGGTATATATGTATCACATTTTCTTTATCCATTCATCCATTGAAGGACACCTAGGTTGTTTCCATAACTTGGCTATTGTGAGTTGAGCTGCTATAAACATTGATGTGGCTGCATTGTAGTATGCTGTTTTTAACTCCTTTGGGTATAGACCTAGAGTGGGATAACTGGGTCAAATGGTAATTTTATTCCTAGTTTTCTAAGCAATCTCCATATTGCTTTCCTTAGTGGTTACACCAATTTGCAGTCCCATCAACAATGTATTAGAGTACCTTTCTCCCCACATCTTCACCAATATTTACTGTTATTCATATTTTTTAATTTGGATCACATTACTATCAAATCTTTGACATAATTTACATCAAAAAGTAAACAGAAAAGTAAAATTACACCAAATTTCCAGTAAGATAGTCCTTGAATGTGRAGGGACAGGGAAGTTGTACCCTTATCTATGTGGAATCATATTAAAACTGCCTTCAGTTTACTAAGCTACCATTACTAAAGTGTATGACCAACAATGTTTCCTGAGTACAGAGACAAAGGAAAAGTTGACAACACTAAAGGATGTCTTCAGAATTATCAAACTTCCTGAATACACAAAACTGATCCACCAAAGCCTTTAAGTAAAATGCAGGMAAGAAATACATGCATTGTTTTGTTTACAAACCTCGTGAAACCCAGGAACTGAGACTGACCTTCAACAAAATGTGTGAAGTATTTTTGAAAGATTAACCTAAATGTTTTCTCCTGATAGCTTCCTTCCTCATTCTCCTGGTCCTTTGCAGAGATAATAAGTTGTACTTTCAATGCCTTCAGAAAAGGGATGTAACAAAGCAGAAAGGAGAAGTAACCCTAGTATCTCTTTGGTTTTTATGTTGCAACATTATTACAAAAACGATCATACAGATATAATCGGGGTAGGCGGGTAAACAAAACAGTTTGGATAGACAGTAAAGATAATGAACAGATTGAGGTATACATGAAAGTCTGTTTGGAACTGAAAGAAATGAAGTGAGGGGAGGAAATGTCCCTGGTTTGAATAAAGCATGTTTTGTGTTTGCACTTATGTGTGTATACAGGGGTTAGGGAAGGTTAGTGCAGCTGGGTCTTCCTGGCAAAGCCATCTACAAGAAACCATCCACCATATAGGGAATGTAGCTGTATATATCTTCATAGATGGGCCCAGAGGCCAGTCTATAGGTACCTCTGCCCTTAGTGGGACACAGAAAGAGTAGGCTTTGGCTGCAAGTGCTACATGTGAAAGGCCAAAATGAAAGACATTCAACGATATGTCACTTTAGCAAATTTCTTTGGCATTAGAATGTAGAATGTATCTTCGTCTCAAAATTCTAACACAGTACTACCCATTAGAACCTTAATTCAACTGGGATTAGACAGACAGAAACTTAGTAAAGGCTATGGTATTTATAAATTTCTTGCTATCCCAGTTAGATTTAAACAAATTACAAAATCAGCATACAATTACAGTTTATGGGTGGCTATATTGCCAAATAGCTATTATTTGCTACTGCTTAGATAAACATCTTTAGAAAGGGGAGAAAAAGTTTAACATAACATGTAAAGTAGCAAATAACAAAGATGGCAATTAAAATAAAAATCAAGTGTTTGTGTTTGGGGCGGCTATGAAATAATGAAACTTCAAGATTCCTAAGTGGAAAAAAATGAGGAAACATACAAAATAACATTTTAAAATAACAAAACATGAGGCTTTCTAAAGCCAAACTTTTTCATTCAGGTGTTTTAATAGGGTACCTGTCTAAATTTAATAAGAATGTTCTTGAGTTTTTCTGAAATGATTACTTCTATTGTGCAAGTGATGACTATAATTGGACATATTATTTTATATTCATTATGACTTAACAAAGTCATGTCACAATAATAGGGCTAAAGAGTACATTGTGATACTGTGCTTAAGTTCAGAAAAATTACTCTACTCGTTTATGAGTAAAAGAAAAAAGCCACAAAAGTTAA